GCAAGAACTTTTATAATATACACAATGTCCAAAAAAGAATTGAGGAAAAATAATTTACTAGTTAATAAATACTTCTAAGAAATGTATGAATGAATTAGTACTTTAATTAAATTTTAGTAAATCTAGCAATTTTAAAAATTAAAATTTGATCTGAAAATGGTAGATTAATCTAGCACATCCAAGCTATTAACATTTCTTTTAAAGAAAATATTAAAATTACTTAACAGCTCTTCTTAAATAAAATATAATTGTTACTGTTGCCAACTCACAAACATCTTTAATTTGAAAAAGTTTAAAAGCTCAACTCAAAAAGAAATTCAGGTATAAAAAATTATATAGTTTCTGCATATCTTTATTGTAGGTTTTATGGATTGAACCAAAAATGTCAAAATAGTATTAAGACATTAATTAGATGTTTCAGTGTAGACTAGAAGAAAAGTTGAAAATTTTACTACTGAACTATTGCAAGCTGTTATAAACCTATTTATCCTATTATGATATGAAATAAGTATCAAAATGCTGCTAAAATGTTCATGTTAAATGATTAATATGTTAATGAGTTATTACCTTTATAACATAGAAAGTAAGTGAAGATCTTATGCATTGTCAAATGACAGTACAATCTGTCTTAATCATCATTTTCTATCTTGTTCATTTGCGATTTTGCAGCTGAGGATGGTTGTTCGGTAAAACCATCGAAACTAGTCTTGTGAAAATTTAAAAAATATAATGCTGATTGTTGTTGTTTGACTTCTGAATTAGTACAATCTGTTTTTGATGGTTGCTATTTTATTGCAAGCAAAAACACAGGAACTGTTAAGTAAAAGGTTAAAAAAAAATGTTTTGAGGTTTAACCTTTAACTTCTGTGACTTAAATTGTCGCATAACTACGGCGGTCTCTCAGACTGCTTCTGCTAAAAACAAAATAAGATATTGTTTTATTTTTCTTATTTGAATAAGTGTTATTTAATTTCATATATTTAACTTTTTCATGAAGATATAAAGCAATTTTTGTACTTAAATCAGTTCATTAAAATAAAATATACACTATGATAATAATTCCTTTGCTTACGTATCTGGATGGAAGAAGTAAATTTTAAAATTCAACCTTTTTATTTTATATTTGCGATAAGGATGCTTTAATGAGAATATAAAAAATTTATTTTTATTTTAAAAATTATAATTCGAGCTGCATTTTATACATACTTTTCTACTGCAGTGTAGACACACTGGTTCTTTGGATACTATACATTTGTAAGCTGTTTTCCTTTTTTTGCTCGGTGGACAAATATAGTACATTCTTCTTTTTATCTAAATTTTTTTTTTGTCTTTGATCGCAATGTTTCCTTCATCATCATTTATTCCAAAAACTCTTCTTATTGCTCTTTATTGAGATCTTTAGGTAAAAATGATGAAGTTATCCTCCGTTTTACATGAGACTGTACCAACTAATTTGCTAATGAAATCTGAAATTTTTTTGTTTCATTTTCGAAGCCAGCTATTGGATAAGACTTGAAAATAATACAAATGCATTTATTGCATAGATATCCAAGTTTCTGAAGAATATTGCCATAGGCCAACGTCCGGTTCGACGAGCAGTTGAATAGATTGAATGAAGAATAATATTGTGGCTACAAGTTCGAACACCCTTGTTGGTTTCTTGAATAGACCATTTGAATTCATTTTTTCCAATAAAAAAAATCTCTTGTAGAAGGAGAGCATGGATTTTCATTTTCATCGGCAGATATCTCTGAAGTTGTGTCGTGGTCGCTCTTCATAATTTCATCATGAGAATTTTCATCAGAGAACTGTAAATTAGACCAGTTTCGAACTATTTATTCAATTTGGTCTTGGGTAAGATATATAGAACGTTTCCTGCACACATTTGAAGCCATTTCAAGAACATTTATAAAAAAGTGAAATATGTAACAACAACGAAAAGTGAACTTTATCAGCTAAAATTTGGATCGTATCTGCTGTGATCGGTCCCACAGACCACTGAGGGGGGGGGGGAAATTTTTTTTTAAATAAAAGAAAAAATAGAGCTAGCCAAATGCAACTTGGTATGTGACCTTGGACAACTGATTTAGGAAGCTACTAAGAGTGGCAGTACCTATTAATTACTCTAAGAGGTGGAAGCATTGAATGGAAAATGTTGCACGGTCTGAGAGACCGCTCACAGCAGTTAAAGGTTAAAACATTAGGACTTTTATCGGAATTGATTTGATACAGGGTTGGTGCCTTTAGCCATGCAGCGTATTTTCATTAAGCGATGTTTAGGAGAATGTCGGAGATTATATTGTTTGTTTATTTTTCTCAGGTAACTATTTTAACAACAGCACTTCCTGCAGGCCTTTTAACCCTTTCCGGCACTCTATCTTTTAAAGTTGGAATTTCGGGGGGGGGGGGGGGGAATGGTAGGCAGCCTAATGAGGCCCAGAAGAGTACACAGGTAAAATTTTGTTAATGTTTGTTATGCACCTAGCGTTTTAATTCTGTGGGTGTGCCTGAAGTGGGCTCACTGAATGAATGGAGCTTGGAAAAGAGTGCTGAAGCGAGCATTGCTGGGAAGCGCATAATAGAGTAAAAGATTTTGCTATGATTTAAAAAACACTAGATTCTGAATACTGGAGCAGATTTAGCATTACCCAGGGTGTGCCACGGGGAGGCCTACTACTCTACACTTTCCCCCAAAAAAGCTCTTTTTGGTTATATATGATGATTACACGTGCATAAATAAAAGAAAGTAACTTGGGTATATGATATTTACATTATTCGCATTTCATATTTACACTTGCGGCTATTTTTTTCCAGGGTGTTACTTTAAAAAAAAGTGACACTATCTTTGAAAAAACACAACCCAACACTACATGTTTTGAACATGTAGCGGGATCCGTGTCAGATTCAGCTCACCAGTGGCCGAGCGGTCAAGTCGCTGAACACTGGTAGTTCGATCTGAGTTTCGAACCCCACGAACGGGCTGGCTGCATGGGTGTTTTCATGGTTTTCCCCACGTGTAATGTGTATACGAGTCAGTTTCCCTTAGAAAGTCATCCCTTCCCTTAGGCAGATAGCCCTAGTGTGCTTTGCCATAAATAAACCAAACTATAAACCATATCAGATTCACTATCTGAAGGTAATTCGCACTTTCAGTGCTTCAGAAATGGTCAGCCCTCTCTGATCCATTTGCAAAATAATTAAAAATCAGAAAAAAAAAAAAAAAAAAAAAAAAAAACTAATATTATATCTACAATTAAGAAAATATAAACTATAAAATAAAATTAAACAGATGTCTAGAACTCGAAAGGCAGTGCTAACAAAACTTTTAAATGAAAGCGAAAGAGAACTGCTGTAGTGAAAAAACAAAGAGCTAACTGATAACATTGCCCCTGACCTTCAGAAAATCACTCCAACAATTTTAATTGATAAACCAAATCTCCCCCTCCAAAAAAAGTGGGGACTGTATGTAAAATAAGTATGAAGGGTATCGGTAGGGGGTGCGGCTCGACCCACCTAACTAAACAAGTTAGTTTCATGGTAATAACAGGCCATGCCAAGTATGAAGAGTATTTTATTTTAAAATATAGTCAGTGTAATACTGTAGTTCATTGAAGTCGGCATATTATTACCATCTGAAAAACTTCTGGATGAAGCATTAAACGTGCTTGTAGATTATATTACTCAAAGACTTCATGATGATACTCAAATGCTTAAAATATGTAAAAAAAGACAATGTTTTGTACAAATTGCCATGGCCAACCAGAACTTTGTATAGAATTTTTCGGAGCATTAAATTGTAAATAATTTTTGTAATAGATCATTTTTCTACATTACTTTTATAAAAATTTAGTAGTCTTTTTATGAGCTGGGAAATACCTTTCCAAATACCTACTAACTTCTTAACTACTCAAATGAGATTCCGATGAAGCAGCCTGATCAGAGTTTTTGCCGTCGCCCAAATACAGGTGACATGGCAGTCAACGTGTTAAACAATTTTTATGATTTGGACCTTTACTATAAGGTTTCCTTTTTGTTAGCTCTCATCAGAATGCAAATTAGACTGAAGAATTTAAAGCAAAGGTTTTGAATGTTTCAGAGCTTTTGGTTTTTGCGGCTCTGTTTTCTATTACAGGCTCTGCCTATTAATATTCCAGCTTCAGTCGTTTTGTTAAGAGACCTTAAAAATGCACCAACCACCTTAATTAGGCCAATATTGAATTAATGAAACTTAAATTGTGCTAATTCCATCCCTACTGATTTTAGGGCACTTTTTTTTTTCTAAATTGTCTTCACCAATATTTATGTATAATTTTATTTTACATCTTCCTATGGTATATTACAAAACTTATTCACACAGTAGTATGTTCATTGGTTACTAATTTTATTTTCATTATATTTATAAGTACTTTCATAGAAAATGTTTTCTTTTTCTATAAAAGCAGAAAATTACAAAATAAAATTAGCCAAAAACTTCAAATTTAGATAAATATTGATATATTTTACTCTAGAATCATAGTAGTAACCCCACTCCTGATTCTCTTACAAATCAAATAAGCAAATGCATGAACCTCACTACAATATGAATTGCATGGGAATGGGAGAATAAAAGGTAGATAACGAATCTCACTTAAAAGTTGCATTTGTGTTTTGAGACTTGGGGATAAGATTAAATGAAATGAAGTAAATAAATTATATTAAGAATTAAATGAAGGTGGATCGATTATTTTGTTTTATTTTGCAACATAATTCAAATTTTGCACATAAATCACTGAAAAAATAATCAAACTTCACTGTGCATAATTTTTCTTATAAAAACATTGTTAAACATTAATAAATATTGATCATCTGAGTGCCACACATTTTTTTTTCATCTTTTTAAATTTTAAGATCGTAAATAGTATAATAGTAATATATTATTATATAATATTGTATGTGTGTGCTTTGTGTATATCACGTTTTCTCAAGGCCTTTTTTTTTTTTTTTTTTTTTTTTTTTTCCAGTCATTGAAGCTTGCTCAAGCATCTATGTGAATGCCTTGTGACTAAAAATTCAATTACTTTTATTTAAATTTTGAACTCAGCCTAGCTTGAAAGCTGTGTGCTAATTCGTAACGCTTTGTGACAGTGAAGCAAAAGGAGAATATCTTAGAGTTAAATGTATCAGTTGTTTTCTTTTATTTTCATGTAAAAGCATTTTTGAAATTTGTTCTTTCCCATTCCTGTAAAGAATTTTGACTTGCTGTTGCATCTTATAAATAGTAAACTCAAGTATATTAAGGAGCTACATTTTTAAAACTATTTTTGCTTTTTCATGCAACTTATTTTTTATATATTTCTTAAACATTTTTTAATATTACGAAATATTTTCTCACTTTCCATATATGCACACTGTTTACTGGTTGTAATATAATGTTGAACCTTTATATATTTGTATATTATATGTATTTTAATGTAATATTTGTAATAAATAGCATGTTAGAAAGTTAAGGATTTGGAAAGTTTATTTTCCAAAACCCATTCATAGTTACATTCAATTCTGTAATGGTCTAAAATTTTCACAATTCAAGCTTTCTTGTTGGATTTTTAAGTAAATTATTTTATTGATCTTGTGTCATCTAAAAGTGTACTTAAAACGTTGTCAAACAGCTATTGTGCGACATATTTTTGTTTTTGTAAAAAGACCATAGACTTTTTTAAACACTGTCTATTTTATAACAGTGATCAACTTCCCTCTTCCTCATGTTAAGGTGAAAAGAGTAGCAAATTTTAGTTTTCTGATAGTCTAATTTTTTACCTTTAAGTTTTTGGTACATTAGTTTTATATGTACTTATGAATTATGAAAAAAAAATTTAAATTAATAATGCAAAAGAATAATATACCTTTTTTTTTTTACAAGTCATATATTAAGGCAAAAGTGAACTGCTTTAAAGCAACGTTAGCATATCATTCCGTTTGATTATTTGTAGTTATAAAGAACAGTATGCTTTAGAGTATTTATGGGACAAGATTTTTGTGTCTATTCTTCTATTAAAGTGTCTTGTAATTTTTCCTGGCAGCTAAATTTGGGTACCCCCCCTTTTTTTTTTTTTTTTTTTTTTTTTTTTTTTTTTTTTGAGAAAATTGTTTTGGCTTGTTAGCATGTTATGTAGACCTTCCGTTATTAAATTCATTTGGTTATTCACTGATGTGGACTTATATATGAAGCTGTTATTGCTCTTGTTTTCTGTGGGAGTTTTCTGCTATTTGTTGAAAATTGGGGAATCTGATTATGGGAAAATAAAATTATAGGTACTTAATTTTATATTTTATTCAATAAAAATTGTTCATTATTATAGTGATATTGCACATTTTTTTAGTTTTATAGCTTGAAGCAGAAGTCTGAACGGTGAATAAAATTCATCCATCTAGCATAAATATTTGATATAGTCACAAAATTTTAAAAATCTTTCTTTAATGCAAAAATCTAGTGGCACTGAGAGTATAGTACTCAGAATCTGAAAATTGCCTTGTAGTGATATATTTGGATATGTCTGATTACCTTTTGTACTTAACAGATAATTAAGTTTTCATAGTTCAAAACACATTTTAAAATGCTTTTAATAATTTGAAATTTTGTTAATGTATTTTATCTTCTAATGGAATGTAAGCAAAACTTTTAAAGCTGAACCTCTGAAATTTGTTGTGTATCTTGATAATGTAGAATTAGTATTTTGTTTCATGTTCAGTTTTTGAATTTTTATTTAGCAAAAATATTTTATAAATCTGATAATGCAGATCTGATTGTTAAAAACAGTACAATATAAAGCTTTTTGGTTTTTTGTATTTTTTAATATTTATTTCTTTGCTTCATTTTACAAATCTGCTATTTAAAGGAGTAATTATGCTATTTTGGGGGTGGAAAATTACTTTCTACTTGAAACTAGTATTATGGCACATATATATCTAAAATTGAATGTATTAAAATACTGTATTTCCATGTGTATAAGTCACCCTAATTTTTCCTCAAATTTTAAGAAAAAAAAAAAAAAAATTCTCCAAGGTTAAACCACAGATAGCCTGTTTAGCATCTATAATATTTCGTTTGCAGGTGTGAAAACAGCTAAAATGAAAAAAGCACTTATACAATAAGAGAAAATTTTTATCACATAACAGAAACATGTTTCTGTGTTTAGTACCTCTTAGTGTCGTTTCTATCGGTAGTCAGCAACAATGGGTTTTATACTCCATCATTAAATACACTACATAATGCTTCATTGCTGCTTCTTTGTATATACCTATTTCTAATCATGCTTATGTATAAGTTACACCTTGATTTAAATTTTTTTATGGAAAAAAAGCTGGGGTTTATGCATGAGAGAATACAGTAACTGAAAATGTTTCATAACTATAACTGAATATTATATGCTATTTTATAATATATTTTATCAAATATAGATAAACTTGATTGCAAATTTGATGTATTTAGATTTTAATATTGAATGAAGCATCTGATAGGTTCAGAAAGTAATCCTAGAAGATTCTGATATTAATTTCAAAGGCTACTAAAGGATTTGTTTCAAAGGATTTGATTTAAGTATTTGATGATTTTGAGTATCAATATATATCTTTGATACAAAAAACACAGCACCGCCATATTTTTCAAGTGTAGCATTTTTATTCAACTTTCTATGCAATTTGATGTATGGGGACTGTAATGATGAAGTAAGGCAAGTTGTCATATCATACTTTGATTTTAGCATTATTGACAGTTTTTAAGCACTTTCATCTAGAACAGTGAGTAAATAGTTTATAGTTTTTATTATCTTTTAGACAACTGAACTCCCTCCCCCCCTGTTTTGTGAAATAAAGGGGCAAAGAAAATTAATTCCAATGTTTTCAAGCTGCTGAAACAGTAAAACTTGATTGTGTTATGTGATGTCCTTATCTTTGTTTGTATGTCATCAAAGAGTAGCAAAATATGTTCTATGTTACGAGCTTATTTTTCATTATAATTCAATTCAAACTATTTGTGTTTATTTTAATCAGTGTATTGTGATATTTTGTTCTTTTTTTTTTTTTTTTTTTTTTTTATGTGCTTTATCTTGTCTTAAAATAATCACTTGTCAAGGAGCTATTTTTATAATTTTATTATATGAATTTCTTCCTTGGTATATGTAATAATATATACAAGGCAAATCCTTACCATCATTAATTTGTTTCTAAAATCATATAAATGTATGGGAGGAAATGGAGGAATTTCATACACTAAAGCATGCTAAATACTTGTATGCACTCATCGTCCTTTTATTTTTTATATTTTTGCATATAAAATTTAAAGGCAATTTTAAATTATTTGACCCTTAAACGTTATAATGACCAGCATTTCATGTTTAATTTTAAAATAATGAAATTTTGCACAAGTATTAAATCTTGGAAAATAATTTTTCGTATAGAATTGATCTACATTAAAATTATGTTGTGTTATTTTATGTCATTGTTGTTAGATGAAATACTAAAAGGCAAAATTTATTTTGCCATGAATTTTCATTTTGAGTTTATCTGATGCACCATGCCTGAAATCTAGTCATGTGAGTAGCAATTGACCTGCTTTTTTTTCAAATATTTCTTTTCTTTGTGCCATGTTCAGTGTATTTAATCATATTGTGTATTATAATACTTTTGTTAATCTGCTTTTTTGATTAAATTGTGATAAATTTATTTTTAGCCTTTTAATTAGTTTGCTTTATTTAATAAGATTCTTGTGTTAATGGCATTGTAAGATGTCTTTATATGTGAATCTTCCTGTGTTCGGGAATCAGCTGGAAATGAATTTTAAAAAAATTATAAGTCCTAATTTTTTAATGATCTAGTCTTAAAAGTTATAAAAGCTACTATTTAAAAATATGCTATCGGCTCTTAATATAGCTGTTATCTTTACACAAAGAAAATTGCATCCCCGAAAAAAGTAAGCTTACTACGCTTATTCCTTCCTTCCTTTTGTCTGAAGAAAAGATGTCTGAAGATTTGTCTTCCTTTTGTTTAGAAAGAAAATCTATAATATCGGTAGATATGATCTTTTGAATCAGTTTAATTGAATTCTTGAATTTTGTGATGTAAGTGTATTTGTTTTTTTGCCTCTGGCTAAGAGTATAACTCGTAAATATTTCATGTAAATAAGTAGAATATTTCCTTATTTACTATTGTAAAATATTTCCGGTCATATTAAATTGGATCTTTTTAATTATGCAAGTAAAGGAAATAGTTTTATAACTTTTGTGCCATTATTATAAAAATGTACTGTCTTTTTTTTATTACTGAGATCACATGCGTATAAAGTACTTTAACTAAAATACTCCTTTTGTTCATTTTTTACATCCTCAGCTGCTTTTATATGCCTCATATTAGTAATCTCATTGTATTAAGAGTAATTTTTATTTCATGAAATAATCTAGGAGCCATAATGACTATAATTTCTTCGTATTCTTTTTAATGCATTATTTTTAGAGTTCATTGAAATTCTGAACATTTTTCACTGATTGCGTATAAATAAGAACTGATAAAAAATTGCTATTTTTATGATAAATCCCCCCCAATGAGATAAAAGGTTTATTGTGAGGATAGGCAGTTTCAGAGTAAGAAACAAGTAATTTTATATATATATATATATCTGTGCATGTGTGTGTGTATAAAATTTACATTTCAGGTGCTGGTAGTCAGTCATTTTGTCACGCCCCACTTCCAATCTGAAAATTTATTGGTTTACTACTTATGTCAATTTTTTCAAGCATTGAATATAAAATATCGAACTTTATCATATACTTTTTATTTTAAAATGAACTGGAATATAATGATTGTAGATTTTCTTTATAAAGAATTTTATAAGAATTAGTGATAGCATTAAAAATAAGATGTTATAAGTATTAAAATTATTTGAAGCTGATGTGAATGAAATGGGGAAATTTGAACTATGTATTTTGTCTTTTTCCCATTATTTGTGAGAAAATGTAGCATATTAAACTACATTTATTTATATAAATATTCTTCTGTAAGGCTGTAAAATGTAAATAGAATATTTTTATTATACTACGTGTTAAAATTGACTAATAATTAGTGTAGTTTAAATAATTGTGTCAGTGTTTGACAAAAATTTCTGCAATGTTTCTGCATACAAGACTGTAGGAAATTTTAGGGGTTCAACTATTAAAAGATTTCCATTATTATTTTGTACTTTTTTTTTTAGTTTATAACTTGATTAACTTTTCTAGCATAAACTTAATTATTGATTTACACTATGATGAAATATGTGATAAACTTACCTATTAAATCTGATAGAAACAAGCATAAATATTTCTTTAAGTGAACAAATAAAGTGGCAGAATATAACTCTAAATGAATTCAAATATTCTATTTATATAAAATAAACATTAATTGATATTTCAATTTTTTAAAATTTTAAATATATTTAAATGTCAATTATTCACTAAATTTAATACCATGAAATTAAATGCTGTTCTTTATTTACTCAAATTAATATCTATTAAGCATTTTATGGGAAAAATTTGATTCATAAATGATTAATGTTTCATAGATTGTTACTGTGTTTTTGAGTATTAACTAGTGTGTATTTTTGTATATCTATCTAAAATTATATAAATAAGTATTGCTTTTGTGGTTGGCACAATGAAGTGTATATATTTGCTTAACTGAAATGCATTTATGTGCTGTTTGCTTTTTTTGAAGTATTATGAAAATATTAATAAAGAGTATAAAGGAAACTCAAAAAGTACAAATGTATTTTGAATTATTCAAAAGCAGAGTCAGTTTAAGGGAAAGTGTAATGTAGCAATAGGTAATGTATAGATATAAAACTGTAGTATCATAAGAAAAGTATGTATTTGATGTCATTTGAATTTAATAAAAACTTTGACTGTATTAATGAGGCTTGAGTTTTTTTAAGTGTATGTTTAAATGTGTGTTAGTGAGTGATATTTTATTCTGTGATATAAATTTGCATTGCCATAGTCAGTACGTAAAACAATATATGCTGAATGCATAGAAGACACATATGTGAATTTTGCCAAAAATCTTAGTTTAGTTAGCTACTGATGCTTTAGGTGCTTGAATTTCTTACGTTTAATATGCAATGTACTAAAGCATTTAATTTGTTATGACAAGTTAAACAAATGGAATATATATATATAAAGCAAAAACAAAAGTTGTAAAATATAGAATGAATAATAATTATTATAACCCTACCTGCTTTCCCCCATCATGTTAATCATGGAGGTAAGAAAGGAGGGTCCAACCTCCCACTATACTGCACTGAGTGAAAGCACTGCTTCAAAGCTTTGGCGCCAACTCCTCCTCTTCCTTTCTCGAGAGTCAAGACTTCGCTCGGCACTCGGCTCGGCTAAATTTGGGTATATGCTAAATTATTGTAAATTAGTTTAAAAATATAGTGAATGCACGGGAATTAGATTTGCACATGTCAAAAAAGAAAAATATGTATGGGTATTTATGCATATGCTTGGAAAAAAAGCATGTATCTGCCTTTAACAAGTGAAAAAATCTAATTATTAAATGTATTTAATTTATAAATATTATCTAAATATATAATAACCTTAATATTAAATTGTGAACATAAATTGAAATCCTGTGAACAAATACATTTATAAAACTATTTAAGCGAGAATTCTTCGTACTGGAAAGCAATCTGTTAAAAGGTACTGTAAAGCACATTCTGTGAGATGCATACTTAAGGAAGTAATAAAGAGCTCTGGAATGTGTAGCATTGAAATTGAGGGTAAAAAAAAAAAAAAAAAAAAAAAAAAAAAAAAAAAAAATCTGAAATATAATTAAAAGAATTATTCCCTTACATTTTATAATAACCCAGTTAAAAGTTTTAAATAGTATTTAAAAAATTCCCTTTCAGAAATATTTACATATTACAGGAAAATGAGCACCAATACTTAACGTATTTCACTATTAAAATAAAAGGTGCTCTAATTTGAAATGGACCAAATAAAGCAGGGTTTCTTAAACTTTTTAGGATGGGGACCCCATAAATTTTGTGGCATTGTGCAAGTCCGACACATGCGAGTGAAACTATCAGTTTCTTCACTTGTACTGTAATATACCATTGTAGTTTTTAGGTCATTAACTTTAATTTTTAAAGTAAAATGAACATTTCAACTTTTTAAAAAATGCTTCTAAACTTTTTTTATCTGTATTGTCTTATCTTTATCAATTTTCAAATACATTCTGTAAAAATTTATAAGAAATATCAAAATTGCTAAAATTTTTGGTGCCCCCCCCCACACACACACACTGAAGATCCCGCAACCCACAGTTTAAGAAACTCTGAAATGGATCATTAATTATAAATTGACTTTAGTTTTTCAATTTAAAAGATGCCTCAGAAGCTATAAAATCTTGTCATATTTGAGGAAGTATTTTAGGAAGAAGCCCTATAAATAGGAGAAAAAAAAAAAGCAAAAAATTTTAATTTAATATTAATACAATAAAATTTGATCGTAATTTTTGTAATCCTTAACCGAATAAAATTGAATTACCTTAAAATTTTTTACCTAATGTAATTAATGAAAACTTTTGAAAATGGTTCATTCAAATTTAACTGTTCTGTGAAAAGTATAGCAGTTAACTCCATTGAGAATGAAATGTTCTTTAAAAGTATATTCTTTTCATATACTTTAGTACTCTGAAATATTGTAGATAAAATACATGCATTCATATGTATATTTAAGATTCAATTATAAAACATTTGCATTTCATCATGTCAAAACCCATTGATCTTAATGGTAAGATGGTAAGTCACTGAATGTTTTGGTCACCACGAAGGGATCACCTGTGCTTGAAAGCAGTGTACGGGGAAAACAGGTTAGAGCTTCTCTTCTTACTTCTTACCTCCATGCATTTTAGTGGATTGCTCATTGTATTCAGGCGTTGTTAAAGGACATGCCAATCATTCTTTTGAAGTGACTGAAAGTATTTTAGTGCACCTTTTTTTTTCATTTGTTTACTGATGTTCAGCTATTGATGCCCAAAGTTCCATTCCTGTTCCAAGGGGTAACTGCACACAGTTGTGAAAGCGTCCAAAAAAAGGTAGTCTCTTTACTTAAATAGATATTGTTAGCGCAGAAGCATTTTACTTGTCATGGAGGAACAGGGTTCGTACGGTCCTTAAGAGTCCTTAAAAGTCCCTAAATTTTTTGGAATCTATTTTTGGTCCTTAAAAGTCCTTAATTTTGGCCAAAGTCAGCAGAAGTTCCTTAATTTTAATCATCTGAAATTTCTGTGTGTTTTTACGACTGCCATTTTGAGTGTGTGGAAAATCCCCCAAATGATTTATATACCGCCGTTAGAGGGCGCTTCGCTTCTGAAAAGGAATGTTAGTTTTAGTTTGCGACCGTAGTAGTTTAGCAGTGAACCTTCGATGCAATCAAAGTGCTTTGTAAAAAAAATTATTATTTTTGTAGATTGTTGAAGTAGTTATTTCAGTTCATTTAGAATTAGAACCACCTTTCGCAATATGGCGCATCGGCCGGGAACCTTTGGCCAATTTAGAAGTTTGTGTTTTTTAATTTTGGATATCATTTTACGCGAAAACAGCCAAGGTAAGCCTGTATTTTCTATTTTTATATAATATGGAAGATCTTATTGCTAAACTGAAATCGAAACGAAAGGTATTGAGGACCGGAGTGTCCAAGATATTAAAGAAAATTGAAACCAAACTAAATAAAGATGATAGTAGTATAAATGTAAATGTATGGAAGAAATTTTAGACCAGTTTTAAACGAAAAATCAAAATCCTTGAGCAATTTAGACGCTGAAATAGAACGAGAATTAAAAGTCGAAGAAGAGAATTTGAACTTGAAATCTCATCGCTTTGGAATATGAAAGAGAAAATTCAAGGTGTGGCAGTTTAGAGGAAAGAAAGAGTTGAATAAGTTGGAAAATTAGGACAATGCAATAGAGACATTTCTAATGAAACCGTTTACAGATCCCAAAAACGAAAGTAACAAATTCACTCGTCTTCCAAAATTAACGATCTATAAATTTATGGCGATTCTTCGGATGGTTAGAATTCATAGGTCAGTTCGAAAATGCGATATGAAAAAATCCGAATTTATCAAAAATAGAAAAATTAATTTACTTAAAAAGCTTTTCTGGTGGCTCAGCCGCCAAAGCTATTTCTGGTTTCGCTCTCATCGAAAATAATTACGAAGCTGCTCTTGAACTGTTACGTTCCAGATTTGGTCAAAAGAACATCTTAATTAATTCGCATTTAGGACAACTCTTAAGTACTTCTCCTGTTAGAAATCCTAATGATATATAAAACGGATTAAGAAAACTTCTAAAATCACGTTGAAGTACAGATAAGAAATCGTGAAGCATTAAAAATAGACTCTGATACCTACGGAAATCTCTTAAACGCCTTTAATTTTGAATTCCTAAGAATTCGTTCTTGATTATAGCCGAAAAAAAAATTAAAGACGAAAATTGGGATTTAAAAGGTTTGTTAGCCTTTTTGAGGAACGAAGAGTATTCAGTAGAGAACGCGCGGCTTCTTGTTAATTATAATTCTAGAGAAAAATAATTCGCGATTGGAAAAGCATTTGCCCTTCAAACATAAACATTCTCAGCCATAACGAGCAAGCCGTCTACAGTTGATTTAGCGGCGTATCCGAATCGCAGTGTTGTTCTGCGGGAACACAAATCATAAATCTGCGGATGCGAAATTTTAAGTGTAGAAAAGAAAAAAGGAGATCTTCTTAAAAAGTGAATCGCGGTGTTTTTTATGTTTAGGTCGGTTCACCGGATTAAAAATTGTAAACAAAAAGTAAACTGTTGCCTTCTGCTTTAATAAACACTCGAAAGCCATTGTTATTCATTCCATCAGGAAAAAATATAATGAAAAACTGAAAGAAAACGTCGGATTCGAGCGCTATTTTCCGCTGTTTCGTCATATAATTCCGATGAAAAATAGATCTAATAAAATATTATTACAAACGGGCTTCTGCATTGATCCGAAAAATAATGATAAATCTGAAAATGTCAGAATTCTTTTTGATAATGGCTCAATGAGATCTTTCATAACTAAAGATGTATACTAAAATGGGAACTTCCGATTGTTAGAAAAGAATCACTTTCTGTTATTCCTTTGGTGATAAAAAGTGCGTTACAAAAAACCTTTAATGTGTGTAGAGCAAAACTAGAAAATGTAAACGATCCTAATCTTAATATATATATTGAGCTTCTTGAAACCGAAAATATATCCAATACTGTTATCTCCTCCAGATTTGAACTTTGCTAAGAAGAATAAAATTTTACAAAATTTACAATTAGCAGATTGTTGTAGGAAAAGTGACAAAATTGATATTCTCATAGGGGTAGATTTCTACATCTATAATTACTGGTAAAATTAAAAGAATTTCAAGAAATGTAGTAGCCACTGAATCTTTATTTGGGTGGTGTTTGAGGGTAAAGTAAATAATGAGCATAGTGAATTATTAACTATGAAAGTAATTGTAAATGAAAACTTGATATCAGATCAGTTACAACAGTTTTGGAAGCTAGAAAAAACTTGGGTTTGGAAAGTGATACTCAAAAACCAAAAACTGTTGATTTAGAAATTATGAAATCTTTCGAATCTGATATCAGGTATAAGAACTGCAGATACCAAGTAAAATTACCTTCGAAACCGAATTCAAAACATTTAATGGAAGGTAATAGGGATATAGCACTTGAAAGATTTATGAAATTGAGTAACAAATTTAAAATTGATAACTGTTTGTTCGATACACAGAGGTTTTAAAGGATTACGAGTTAAAACATATTATTGAACCAGTTCAAGAAGACAATCAAAATGATAAAACCCTATTTTATTTACCTCATAGAGCAGTCATCAGAAATGAT